CCCCCCCCCCGCACGATGTTGAGGGTGGAACCGGGACCCTGGGAAAGTTGAGGGAGAACTACAGGTCGGTGGAACCCTTACCGACTGGTTAAACGGTTGACGGAAACTCCCCCGACTGGTAGAACCCCCGGGTTGGTGCGGAGCGGGTCCTCCTGGCTGGCGAAGGAGTGGGTCTCCTGGTTGGTGAAGGAGTAGTCTTCCATGCTGGTGGTGCTGAGGAGTTGGCTGGTGAAGAAGCAGCCCTCCATGCTGGTGGTGTTCATGTGGTCCTTGTCGTTGACGAGCGGCGACGACAATCACAACTCGGTGCTCGGGTGCCTCCCATGTGTCGATCTTGGGGTGCCGATGCTTGCCTGTTTTTGTTTTGTCTGTCCTATACGGCCGTCTTTCTGTTGGCTTTGCACATCTCTTCGTGATCGCTTGTCTTGTGTGTAGGTGTGTATTTTATCTGCCGTTCGCTTGCGTCGCGCAGTGTTCAAGCTTTTCCAATACAATGTTGGATACCCTATCCCATTCGGATCAACACACATGTGTGTCACCAGATATGAGAGAAAACAGAGGATGGTAAAATATATGAAGTCTCGACCTCGTGATTAACAGTCTCACAAGCAAATAACCAAATTCCAACAAACCAAAACGATTTTCGTTAGAAAACCACCTGATACTACAGAATTGAAGTGACGTGGTGCACCAACATGAAAAGCACTACCACAAAGAGCTGATACATTGAACAACAACAGACGGCCAAAACAAAATTTAGGACAAAGACGGTGCACAAAATATACCACAGGACATCCCAATGTCGAAAGACTTGATGTATTCTCCTTATTTCCTTTAATCCATCCGACGTAGTCTTAAAAACGTATCTACTTTGAAGTAGCTATTAGCAATATGAGATAGAGAATACATATGACATAGAGAACACGATGCATGAATAGCGAGTTCGATTGTTCAGACGTTGACTGCGAAGTCTTGTAGTTGAAACAGAAATGTTGGCGTGCAATCGGCCAGGCGTCCCATGCAATGCTTGACGAGTAACATTCGACACCCCATGGGACACGTTGGACGCCCCTAGCTGTCCCATGGGGCACGTGGGGCGTCCACTTGCTGTCCCACGGGACACGTGGGACGTCCGAATCTGTCCAGTGGGGACAGACATTGGACACCCCACATGTCCCATGGGACACGCATTGGACGCCCCGGACGTCCCGTCGGACGCCTGGGACGGCCCATCTGTGCCAACACGCCCAACCAACGCGTCCCACGGCGTCCCAGTATGTGACCCGAATGCGCAGCTTGGACGCGCTTCATACCTGAGGTTTTTCCGCCCACGGCGAAGGGAAGTCCCACGCTGTAAGTGGACCCATGGGCTCCCCGTCCTCATCTACTGGGGTTCCCAATCAAAATGGCATCGAGCTCTTTCTCCGCCAAAGGGTTAAGCCAATACTGATGCGAGCCTAGCGGTTTCTTGCCCGGGGGCACATCCAAACGAAATGTTGTCACTGAGCAACAACCAAAATCGGACGGTGACCGCAAAAACACGCCAGGAACGTCACACAGCACATCCATCAAGCTGTAAATGGCTTCCGGCGTCCAACCCGAGTCATGTAAATCAAGGGCAATGTACAGGCAAGGATTTTCACAAATCGCGAAAACTGACTCGCTGCGCTTCCGAAAGGCATTCCACCAATTACGGCGGCGGCGGTTTCGGCGACTGAGGCCGCGGGAGAGTCCGAGATCTCCTGATCCGCAACCGGGATGTCGGAATGCAAATAATTCACGCGGAACGGCTACCCACCCTCGCAATGAGCTGGCGGCGTAGGGTCATCCAGCCCAACACCCGCGGCCGTCCGCTGCGTAGGATCGATCGACGCAAGCAGAATCTGCAGAAGTGGAGCAGTCGCCACTCCAAGCACGTCACCAGGCTCCAACTCGGCGCATCCGGTCAGAAGGATGCGTTGAGGCCCGTCCGAAACAAATGCGTCCGACGCCGAAAGAGCGCCATGTTTTGGTACAACGTGACAGGATAGTTGCCGGTGGGGGCGGGAGTGCCTCACGTGCGAACGAGGTTCACCCTCGTCAAAGTGGGTTTATCGGAAAGGGAGACACCCTTCCTGCCGGCCTACCGCAGGAACTACTTTGTCCCCGTAGGCGGATGGCCCCGATACATACGCGGAAGCCCCCACCGGAAAATCCGACGACAGACATTTTTCTCCATATTGCGTCCACTCGCAGACCGCGTTGGAAATATATGGACAACGAGAGATTAAACGTATCCAACGTCCGAGAACAAGGGCGTGACCCATGGCGGCAGCGGGAACCTTCCGATTGGGAAAACCGTTGCTTGCGCTCGGCACCGGCGGTGCAGTCAGCACCGTGCGACGTTGATGCTCCGCAGATAAACGTCGCGAAGGGTATGAAAGAGACGCGATGGGTACGAACGCGCCCGAGCCACCGAAGCGGGCTTCGGGCCGTCCCGAAGGTCCCTGAGCTCCGGCGGGGTTGGCTAGACCAAGCCGCCGAAACGGAGGGAGGTGCGGAAGCCATGCCTCCAACGGGCGTAGACATCGGGGCGAGCGTCCGTGGGACACCCACAGTTTGATCGTTCCAGCGCCCTCACCACAAGGCTGTATTTGGCGCCGGGTTCTGCAGACGACGTCACAATGTTATGGAGGAAAAATATATATAAAAGGGAAGGGAGCTTCGGGTACTCCCAGTTGTTGTTTGATCTCTTGTATTAGCCTTTCTTAGACCAGGTCCACTCAGCGCTCACCCGGAGAGAGCGGGAGTGGGGCTGGGATTTTGATCCTCCATTATGCTATTCTTAAAAACCTCACAAAGACGCCAAATAGCCGTATCCAACGAAAATTCAGTATTCAGTAGGTGTCCCGATATATATATATGGGCACTTTACCGGAAACCGGCACTATCCAGGACAGGGATATATAGGTTTAAGTATAGGAGTGAAATCTCGTGCCCATATATGTGGCCGGCACTATGCCGGGCACCGGCACTATTCAACCGGCGCTATTTCGGGACACCGACCGTATTCATGAATGAAGCGCTCGTACAACGCTCATACAGCGCTCATACAACGCTCATTCACTAGTTGCTCCATTGCAACGACCGCCATCCTGGGAGTATGTGCAAATTGAATATTATAACGTGATGTATGCAAGCGATAAAACAGGCCCACTCACCATACCACGGTAAATACAATGCATACGATACATAGGTATGTCAGCTTGAAGCGAGCGGTCGGAAAGCAATAGAATAGACCTCGGAAAGGACTTTCCGCGGGACTTTCAGCGGAAATTTTGGAAAGCTTCCGCGGGAAGGGGGAAAGCTACCCGCGGGAAGTTGGGAGCTTCAACGGGAAGATGGGAAAGTGGAATTTTCCGCGGAACGTTCCGCGGAAAGCGGAAATTTCCCGCTTTCCGTGGAACGCTCCCGGGAGCCTTCCCAGACTTTCCGCGGAAGCTTTCCGCTTCCTGTCAAATAATGTGCTTGACCCCCAAAACCATGGAGTATCTATACGACGTGAGAGAAAGCTGTCTAGGGTCCGGGATGTCTAAGAATCGAGCAATGTACTGGCCTGTTGCGAAATTACTAATAATCTGCCCAAGCCACCAAAGTCCGTCCAAAGCGTTGTACCAAATGTGGGCCCCGACGGGCTCAACAGAATAAGAGAAGCGAGACAACCAAGTATCACGCGAGATTATCTCGCACCCGGGAGCACTGTAACGTTCGGCCTGATTCCGAGCAAGTTCTCGGTCGGTCGAATCTATTCGAGTATTACGATAAGCCCGGTTCCCTTGTGCGCACTGACTAGCGATACCAGAGCAGTAAAGCAGAATGTGTTTTCTGTATTCCTGCTCATCGGATTCCCTTTCCCACGACAGCGTCAAGAAACCCGTCCAACGTGCCAGATACAAGTCGGCTACTACACCACTTCGTCCACGTACAATTTGGTGTCCCGAAATCGTTTTAACATCTTGACGACTAGGCTCTTCCACGATATCGTCAGCAGTCAAACTATACAGGGGGGACTCATTACCATACGAGTGCGAATCATATTGGCCGGCAAAAATATAGGCAGGTCATCCTCGTCGTATGGGTTGGTACACGGTTTGTATCGCAAGACGGAGACATGGTTGCGAGATGCTTGTGCCAGCATGTCGAACGGCAGTTCCGATTAGAGAAGGTTGTGCTCCACAGGCTTCCCATCTGGTGTATCCTCCGCTTTGGCCGGGCCAACAGCAAGAATCTAATACGGGCCGGTGTAGCTGAGCGAAAGCTTTGCTTTGAGCACCAACTCATCGGTGTGTTTCTGCACACCCTGCCGAATGGTGGCAGCGGAGTTGTAGACCTAAGCCCAACCACCAACTTCGTATTTCGGAATCTGACGAAAATCGTCCAACAGCGCAGAGTTCCGACGTACGACACGCGACACCGCAATCGCATGTTGTTCCCGTACCAAACCTTAAGCTCGTCTCTGGCGTTCCACTGCAAGATTGCCCAAAGCGAACTGATCACGATCCAAACATTGGTGGCCACCCACGCTAGGGTGGTCCAAAACAGAAAGCGGGAGACGGGGTAACCGTCCAGTATGCACTTGTTCGGCGTCAAGCCTGTAGTGGTGTTCATCGAGTTGTTGTGGGCGAACTCGGCATGGAGAAGATGGACGTCCCAATCATCCTGACGCTCGTTGACCACAACAGCTAGCATTTGAGCCATAGTGTGGTCAACACGCTCGGCCCCACCGTTAGTTTGGGGGTGATCCGAGCTGATAGTGACGTTCTTAGTCTTTAGCTCGTAAATAGTCATGGAAAGCTTGGAACGAAGTTGCATACCGTTGTCCGAAAGAAGAGTCACCAGACAACCCCACAACGCCATGTAGTGGTTGTCGAAAATACTAGCCGCTCCCTTAGCGGTAAGGTCCGCCTTGATTGTGGCATACATATCCGCCCTTCGACTGAAACGATTTGCAAACAAAAGAGTATAGGCATTCCCACGAGCCGTGACCGGCAACGACCCAAAATAAATCGACGCTCACTACAAAACCCGGCCTGTTAGGGAGGGGCAGAGTGAGCGTAGGCCAGCGATACGTTTGCCAAGAAGTCTTGCGCGCTTCGCAGATTAAACAACGCCGAAGCCACCAACGAACGGATAAATCTATACCAATCCACCAGAAACAACTCTTCAACATACCTCAAGTCCGAGCGGTGCCCAGGTGGAAAGACGCGGCGGCGTGACATGCTTGTAGGGCCCAACCGCAACAGCATAGGCACGTATATGGGCGGAGTCTTCGAGGGTGGAAGGCGAGTGATGTTCCCTCCCCTACTACCGATGGGCAGTGGGGCAGACCTCGTACCATTGTCTGTAGTGTGCAGGTATGTTTTTGATGCGAGGGCGACAACATCACACAACGCGGGCCGTCGCGCACAGGGCAATGAGTCCCAGAATGTATCCGGCAAAACCGTCGGGGATCCCAAGGATAGAAAATGTATAGCCGCCACACTTTCCGAAACATGTTCACGATACCTGTCAGCATGCGAAAATGTATGCACACAGTCGAGAATATGAGATTCCTCAGCGGCCGTGGGCGGCACCACGGGAGGCTCGGGGCTAGTATCCGCGGGCGACAGCACTGAGGGCGTGGGCTCCGCGGGCGGCGGTCGCGCCGGCGGTGCAGCAGCAGACGCGGGCGGCGGCGGTGACGGCAATTCGACCGACGGCGCAGAAGGCGACGGGCCAGAAGTGGGGCGGCCCACGGCTCGCGTCGGCCGCGCAGCACCACTCGACCGGGCCGGCGTTCGAGGAGGCCGCGGAGTCCTGGGCACAATAACGGCCCGTGGGTGTTTCGGAAAACAATTGGAGCCGCTTTGAGCCATGCCAGAGGCCGAGTTCGTTCTCACCCGAGCATAAGAAGAAATCAGGGGGGCGCGCGAAAGCGAAAGGGCAGCTGCGGAGGTTCCGACGGTGGACGAGGGAGCGACGTCTGGCTCCGCAGGAACGGAAGTCGGAAGAGATCCATCGGGGACAGATTCCGCGGGGGCTGCGTTGTTAACGACAGCGAAAATACTGGAATGCGAAAGGACCGACGAGTCAACGACGGGAGAGGGCTCGGAGGCCGGCAGGACCATTGCGGCCCAAAACGGCGGAAGTCCCCAAAGTCAGCCTCCGTCAAAGGCGCGTGTGGCAACGCGTCTCGTTGTTCGCCAACGGCAAGCCCACCCAAGTCGATGTTCGGCGTCGAACTAGAGTGGTAGCTCCGTCCGCACGAACGAATGGGATAAAAGCCCGCGGCGTCATCGACTGCGATACTGGTGTCACCGTGTCCGTCCGCATCGTTCGCCGGCAAGGGCAACCGCGAAAGAAAATCCGCATCGGCATTGGCAGCGCCTTTACGGTGGGTGTAATTGAACGTGGAAAGGAACCCGAGCCAAGATTGCACGCGGGCGTTGTGTTCGCCCACCTTGACGATGCTCTCCAAAGCCTTGTGATCCCAATACATCATAAAAGTGTGTAGACCAAAAGTAACCCCGCAAGATTTTTATTGCCCACACGATACTTCCAGCCTCCAAGTCGAGCACAGTCCAATTGCGCTCGGCTTCGAGGGTAGCGCGGTTCACGAAGAGAACGGGGCGAACGGAACCATTGGCCTGTACTTGTTCGAGGGCTACGCCAAACCCAACTACACATGCGTCACAGCAGAGCCGGAGAGGGCGGCTGCTATCCGCGACAGCTTCCCAATCCTGGAAAGCCAAAAAAGGAAGTTCGGACACTGTCGCCAAGAGTGCCTTGACAGTATCCGCCATGACTGGCGTAAAACGAAACTTCGTGTCCTTACGCACAAGGTCGGTGCGTGGTTTCACGCGCACAGCCAGACCCTTGATGAATTTGCGGTAATTCGAAAGCCCACCCAGCAAGGAACGCAGCTGCTTGACGTTGGTTGGCAGCGGCATTTTTGTGAGAACTTCGACCTTATCGGCACGAGGACTAACACCCGCAGGAGAGATGGAGTGGCCTAAACAGACAGTCTCCTTAGCGCCCACGCGACTCTTGAAAGGAGAAAGCTTGAGGTTGCACTCGCGCAAACGCTCCAAAAATAACGGTATATTGGCGACATAGTGGACTGGGTCGGCGTCAAACACAATCACATCCTCTACGTATGCAAGCACGAGGTCCAGACCTTTAACCACTTCGTTGATGACCATGGTGAACCACGACGGTGCGACAGAACTCCCCTGAGGCATCCTGAGCCACTCGAAAGTTGCGTAGGCGTAATAAACGCCGTAAACTAGACCGTGTCCTCCTCTACGGTGATCTGGTGGAAAGCGGAATTGAGATCAAACATGGAAAACACATTGCCCTTGTGCAGGGAATCGATGATGTGGTCAACACGCGGCTGCGGTTGTTGGCCAAGGCTGCACAATTTGTTACGCTTTTTGTAGTTCACGGTCAACCGCAGATTGCCATCCGTTTTAGGCACAACAATCAAAGGACTCGCCCACGACGATTGCGAGTGCGGAATATGACCGGCAGCAAGGTATTGATCGAGAATGGCATCGACTTTTGTCTCCACCATGGGGTTGAGTGTACAGGGACGCGAGACCAGCGGTTTCGTGCCCGGGGGCACTTCCAAACGAACGGTCTCACTGGACAACAGCCGAAATCGGACGGTGATCGAGAAAACACATCCGGAACGTCATACAGCACATCCGCCAAGCTGTTAACGGCTTCCGGCGTTCAACCCAAGTCATGTAAATCAATAGTGACATCGCGCAAATGTTCAGGCAAGCGTTTCCACAACTCGCGAAACCGATACGCTCCGCGTCCAAGAGGCGTTCCAGCAATTGCGGCGGCGGCGGTTTCGGCGGCAGTGAGGCCGCGGGAGAGCCCGAGACCTCCTGATCCGCAACCGGATGTCCGAATACAAATAGTTCACATGAGAAGGCGGCCCGCCCTCGGAATGGGCTGACGGCGTAGGGCCACCCAACCCAGCGCCCTCGGCCATTTGCGGTGTAGGGTCAATCGACGCAAGCGGAATCTGCACAAGTGGGGCAGTCGCCACTCCAAGCACGTCACCAGGCTCCAACTCGGCGCACCCGGTCAGAGGGATGTGCTGAGGCCCGTCCGAAACAAACGCGTCCGACGCCGAAAGAGCGTCGTGTTTCGGTCAAAACGTGACAAGATAGTTGCCGGTGGGGGCGAGAGTGCCTCACGTGCGAACGAGGTTCACCCTCGTCAAAATGGATTTGTCGGAAAGGGAGACACCCTGCCGGGGTACCGCAGGAATTATTTTGTCCCCGGAGGCGGAGAGTCCAGATACATACGCAATAGCTCCCGCCGCAATATCCGACGACAGAGGAAGTTTCTCCATATTACGTCCACTCGCAGATCGCATGGGCAAAGTAGTGGACAAACGAGAGATAAAACGTATCCAACTATCACGTCCGAGAACAAGGGCGTGACCCATGGCGGCAGCGGGGACAACATACGCCCACACCGCTAACGAGGCGGAGGCGTCATCACCGAGAAGAAACTGAACAGACAGCCGCACGGAGGAGGTGGTTTTCAAGGGCAGTGCCAGAGCGAAAGCCACCCTACACTCGAATGGGCACCGAACGACGACTGTGGACAGATGCAGGTCCTGACGCTTACATGACTTCAAGAAAAGCATCGCGATTGAAAGACGATGGTGAGCCTGAGTCCACAAGGGCTACACCAAAGACGATGTACACACTTCCCCGGTACCACTATGCACACGGACTCGCGTCGTATGTGTATCGCAATTTACTAAAACTTCACCGCTCACCAAGTCTGGGCCGTCTTCCGCCAACAGCGGGGGCGGGGAAGCGGCGGCTTCGCGAAAAGCGGCAGAGGCAACGTGCAGCACCTGCTTCGAGTGGTCCTGGGCATGTTTGCCGGCACATCCAATGGGGTGCATGCACTCTCGGAGGGAGAATCACCGGCCGGAAAATCATCACCCGGGGGCGCAATTTCGTGGATAGTGGGACACGCGGGGGCAGGCAACCCGAATGATTCGGGCGTAAGGGCTTGTCGGGTTCGACCGGGCGCACACGCAGAAGCGTACGCGTCGCAACAAGCGCTTTGCCCAAGAGGTTCTGACGAGGCGATTTGAAGGGCGACGCCGCACGCGGATCGAAGGCATCAACACCATGCCCCACAATCCATCAAAGCACTAGCCTCCGCAATCTGCCTGTCTGCGGTAGCGAACAAACGTTCGCGCGCGTCAGCATTTTGGGCGAAATTTGCACACAACAGGGAAAAGACAACATCTTCGCTTTTCAGCTCCCAGAATGCGTGGTCAAAACCGCGCACCTTGCGGCCAAGGGACTTGTGTTCGCTCGGGTCGGAGGTAGCCATGATTTTGGCACAAGCGACATCATCGCCGAAAATGCGGGCTTTTTCCGCAATCATGAACTGTTCGCCGCACACATCGCGAATACCGTGAACCGCGAACGCACAGGGCGTCCAGTTGGACAGAAAGGGCGGCGGTTTCCAGAAGAGGACAACTTCATCGTTGTAGTATTCCTGACATCCGTCAAAAACATGGGCCTGCTGCGCAGGTGTGCTTACCTTCCCCGAAGAAATATTATCAAGGGGAATGGCACAGGCGACCGGCAGGACAAACTGGGTGCCGCCCGAATTGCGAGGAGAGGCAAGCACAAGCGGTGATCCAGCCACAGAAGCGTGTGAAACCAAGCGGTCTACGTGGGCGTATTCGCGCGAAACGTCAGCGTAGGCCTGTTCATTAGAAGCGGCCTTGGTCCCCGGCGCTCGACCAACATGGCCATTGGCCGCGGGAGGCTAGGGACCGCTATTTCGTGACAAAGAACATGAACCTTCCGATTTGGGGAAACCGTTACTTTCGCTCGGCAACGGTGGTGCAGTCAGCACCGTGCGATGTTGATGCTTCGTAGAGTAACGTCGCAAGCGGACCGGAAGGGACGTGGTGGGTACGAGCACACCCGAGCCAACGCGGCGGGCTTGCGGCTGTCCCGAAGGTTCCTGAGCTCCAGCGTGGTTGACGAGACCACCCGGAGCCGCCGAAACGGTGGGAGGCGCAGAAGCCATGCTTCCAGGGGGCGTAGACATCGGGGCGAGCGTCCGTGAGACACACGAAGTTTTGTCTTCCCCTCGCCCACTTCACAAGGCTGAATTCGGCGCCGATGTGTCACGTCGGTCACCCAAAACAGGCTGTGATGAGGCGTAGGGCGACATCTGAGAAAAAAATGGTTGGGAAACTAACGTAAGTGAACCCAAAGACGTCCGTTCGATACGGATATCTTCAAAACTAGCCGTACAGTGCACAAACGGTTCTTATGACGGCGGTATGTGCAAAAGGCAGTCACTGGCGTGTCAGTTACCCCCGCGAGTGCGGCGTTCCGCAAATCCGGGCGTGCGGGGTTCCAGAGACAGACAGCGGTGGGCGACGGGGCCGCGGCGGCGCCTGCGGACGGCGCCGGAGGTGGGGTGTGTGTGTGTTCGAGTTGCGTTTCCCAGAGAGGCGGCCTTTGTCCTGTGAATGGGCGCTGCTCTCACCTGGGCCACTTCGATTGTTCACACGCGGGCGGTGAGACTGCGTGCGGTTTTGCCAACGTTTCAAGACCTGAACGCCATGAGCATGCGAACCAATGGCCGAGTGTAAGAGGCCGGTGTAACTTGTGAAAGAATACGAGCAAGTTTTGAGCCTGTGCCCCGCCTGTCCGCAGTTGAGACATTGGCCAGAAAAAATGCCCAAAAGCGTGTGCTCGGTCAGCGGGGGTCAACAGCGATGTGAACAAAGGGGGATCCATCTCAGCCATTGTCGCCACAACGCTGTACACGTAGCTGTAGTGGCCACGCACCGGCAAGCAGTCGTAATCCTGCTCGAAAGGACATTTGTTATCGGACGGCACAGGGTCGATGCCCATCACGCCAGCGAGAAAGCTGCTGCTCCACGGTCGCGGTCATGACTCGTGTGGGCGCCGATAAAAACCCAGAAGTGACAGTGGCAAAATAGCGTTCGCCATTACAGGCGGGTGAGTGGTATAGTGCTTCTTCCGGCGACAAAGCATCCCAAGCTCATCCTGATCACTAAACACCACGTTGTTGAGAATCTTGTCCTTCAACGGCAAAGACGAGAGAAGATTCGGGTATTGCTCCAACAAAGCGTCCCTAAGCGCACGCTGTACCATGCGCAGATTCGGCGCAAAAGCCCTATGCGAGACCAACTCCGACATCGCCAACGCCTTGAACTTCGTAACGATGTTGCTGTACGGCGTGCCGTTGGGCAAGCCAAAGTCCTGCAGCTTGTCTATGCCCCGGTTGAAACCTTTCGGTTCCCACTCGTCCGCGAGCAGCTTGAGCAGCCTACGGTACGCCGAGGGCCCCGACTTGTCGTTCGTCTCCAGAAAACACTTCGCTTGAGAAGAATCCACCAATTCGCGGGTGGCGCATTGGCGCCTTGAGGGTTCGAAATGGCCATTGTGAAAAGGGGCCTACCATCCGGCCACCCATGTGGGCAGCTTTATGGTCTGCTTGCCAGAGGGATCAACGGCCGACAGAATTTCAGCCAGCACACTTTCGGCCGAACGAACCAATGCAGAAAATTCTGCCGGGGGAAGCGAAACAACCGCATACAAGACAAGCTTGCTCTATCCTTCACGCATACTGAAAGCGTACGCGTCGGCGGCGGGAACGGCGGCCGCGTCCAGCTGGGCCTGGGCTGTGCGTCCACCGGCAGACGACAGGGGCAAGGTCCGGATATCACCGAAATCGCTTGTGGCCGCCTGTATGGCCGGCAGCGGCGGCCTCGCTACCGACGCCGCGATGGCCGAGACCTGTGGTTCCTGTGGCAAAACACGTTGTGAGGGCGTCGGTACCGCCCCGGAAACCGACGTCGACTCCGTTTTCACAACGGAAGCGGGGGGCGGTGCCTCCGGTTTCACTACGGCAAATCGTGTGTGCGTTGGCAAAGCGGCGACTAATGGCTCTGTAATACGAGCGGTACTAACTGTGGCAACACCAGCGACGGCAGCGGCGGCTGCGGCGGCCTCGGAACCGGCGGCGGTGGCACCGGCGGCACCGGTTGCGACGGCACCGACAGCGGCGACACCGGCGAAGGCAGTCTCGACGACCGCACGTCGTAGGCCGCTACCGACGGCGACGTCGTCGCCAGCGGGTGTCACTGCTCGGGGAAACTCGACAGAGACTTGCGATTCAAAGCTGTCGTGCACGTTCAAAGTCAGACTCAGGGTGGTTAATAACATGTTGGGTGTCTTTTACCGGCGTCGCAGCGTGTGAGGCGCCAATGTACTACGCGGGGGCATGGCGGCATCAGGCATGTGAGTCGAAGCGACGGTGGTCGTGTCCTGCGGCAGGGTCATCGGCCACTGCTGGCTGCCAGGACCCATGAACGGCGGGTGCAACGGGTAGATTTCCAAGCGCGTCTGCAGCCCACGGCTGCACTAAAAAGGCATCTTATGTCCTGCTATACCATACTGAACACTCTTCCCTCGACCGGCATCCCTGTGACAGCCCATGCGACTGCGAGAGTCGTATCCCGTCGAACGGCCAGCATCCTGCGAGTGGTAGTTCTGTGTCTGGGAACGGTCGTGGGCGCGAGAGGAGTGGAGGCACCCGGTGGGCGCAGAAGTGGAGCCCCACCCAGAAGCACCCGAATGTTGGAAGGCCCCCGCCTGAGAGCGGCGACCCCCCCGAACCAGACCCCGGACGTCCAGCAATGTCTACATGCGTGAATTGGTCCCCCTCCTGCATATCACGCAGTGCGACCACAAGCCGCTCAAGCAGCCTACGCAGCTTGGATGGCAGAATGTCGGTCGCCAGTCTCCCCACGTGTTCTTTCTGCGCCAGCTTGAGATCGGAGGAGACGTCGATGGCAAACTGGAGGCAGACACTCCTCCAATTTAAACGTACCCGCGTCGATGAACTTAATTAGAGCGTAGAAGTCAAAACCTAAGAGCCTATCGATCTTAAATTAAAATCGTCACGATGACTACCTGAGTCGGAAGACGATGAGGAGCAGGACGAGCCAGACGAAGCCTCGCAGGAGGGGGACGAGCTGGACGACGTGAGTGGTTCCTACGGTGCCTTCTCGGCCTCTTTTAAGTGGTCAATCTGTCACTGTTGGATATGCACTCGCTTCAAGCACTCCTGCGACTTTTTGTCGCAAGACGTCCCTCCTCAGTGGGCCTCACGTTAGTCACGGCAGTTGCCGAATAAGCAGCAACCGCACCATCAGCTGCAGCAACCGAGGCAACCTCGGCGTCAACGGCGTTCGAAGCAGCGGTCACCGCAGACGCGGCAGGCATCGCAGCAGCAGCAGCAGCGGCGGCGGTAGAAACAGCAATATCCGGAGCGGCAGCCGCAGGAGCAGGGGCAACGGCAGTAGGAGCCGCAGCCGCAGCAGCAGCAGAGGCTACTGAAGCATGATGAGCAGCTGGGGCCACTGCAGCAGAAGCCGCAACAACAGCGCAGCAGCAGGAGCCCACCGCAGCTGAAGCCCTGCAGCTGAAGCCGCAGCCGCAGAAGCAGCAGGGGCAACTGCAGCAGAACTGCCGACGACGCCACCATGTTATGGAGGAACAGAGAAAAACAAAGGAAAGCAGGTCCGTTGCTCCCAGCTTCGGATACTCCCAGTTGTTATTCGATCTCTTGTTTTTGCCTCCTTAGACCAGGTCCTCTCGGTGCCCACTCAAAGAGTGAGGGAGCGGGGCTGGGATTTTGATTCTCCTTTGAGCTACTTCAATACCCCTCAACGACGACAGATAGATCTACCCATATCCAACGAAAAATCAAAATGCTTCTATCCAAGAAGCGCTCATACAACGCTCATCTAACGCTGATGCAACGCTCTGCACTTTGTTGCTCCATTACACCGTCGCCCTATACTTTTGTAGAAGCAAAGCTGACAAGGCACGACGATTCACATGCCCCACGATCGCTGGCTCAGACAAAATCGTACCGGCTGATTGCTATTTACCTCCTTCACTCTCTCCATCTCTTCCCATGTGATTACATGTGATTTCGTTGTTACTCTACCTACCACGTCCTTTGGTATCCAGATAGAGCATATCATATCGAAACAAATTCAACGCTGGCCCAAGGCTGTGCTGAAGCTGGCAAAAAGACGATGCGGGTGCAGCTAGGCGCACGTCTTCCCGGCCGAGCGACGTGGTGTCGCTTTCACCTCAAGGATTGTCTTGGTGGTGGAAGGAGTAAGTGTAGTACAGGCTGCGAAATTTCTCCAGTGCCTAAGATGCGAACAGACACAAGACGGGGGAGACCCAAATTGCTCACACCCTGAACCACTAGCGCAAACGTAACACATCCACCTATTAGGAGCGCCTGAGTTCGACTTCCAGGTAGTCTTTGTAAAACAATTACAGTAGTGGCCCAAGATTGCGACCCAGTAGCTGTTTGAAGTCAACTGGTTGCCCGAGATTCTGATGTTGTACGTAGTTTGGCAACATAAGTACACCTCAAGAAGCTGTAATGGGAGTACGCATTGTTTGTAGGGCGGGACGTTCTTAAGACTCACTCAAGCGCTACGGCACGCTGACATCGGCGGCCGTCGAGGGTATGAGGCGTTTCATTCGTGCTTATCGCGGGCGCATCAATAAGCGGAGTCACATGCCTATCGATATATGCGGATTCACCGAGAACCTACACCCGCACACAAGAGCCAACGATGGAAGGCATCGTGTGAGGGAAAGGAAGCTCGTGCACAACAAGCACCACCCGAATCAGCGAGCAAAACGCCTTCGTCTACCGAGCAGGCAAGGCCACATCTGCATTGTGATGCGCACGACGTGGACGAAGGTAACGGCGGGCACATCCTACGACCGCGGTAGGTGCAAAACTTTACCTTGACAGCCCCCAGGCTTGCGAGCATCAGAGCCACCGCTGGAAGCATGGCCCTAGCCGTCACGGCATTGATGACACCGGCAGACCGCGAACCGACGGCCGCCGGCGTGCTCACAGCGCGCGCCCCTCGTAGCAGCCCCTGGTTTATCGATTCGTGAACCGTAATTTTTAACAGTTACTGATTCGGGAGAAAAACGCCATGTGGTCAAACCTCGGCATGTTAGTGAAGTTTTTCATGATACGAAGGTGAGTGACAAGGACAGCAACGGAAGCTCAGGAGAGCGGGGTGCAACATACGCCGGCAAGGGACACAAACGGATAGATGAAAAACAATCTCATCATCCGAAGACTCCATGTACGCCCGCAGACGCATGCACGGCGCGCTGGCGGGCACCTACACGTGCCCCATGCTTCATATTTACGCGCAAAATGCTAAGGACAACAGAGTGCCTGTACGGGACCCACATTTCGGAAGGCTGTCCTCGTTGGGAATTATGTGTGACGTCCCGCATGGGCAGGGGTGCGAGGGTTTATCACAGCAAGCGCTGAAAAAATCCGCAGGCATAAACACGTAGTTCTCGAGCCCACTCAACGTGATGAGCGCTAAAATCGCCACTCCCCCCTGCTACAAAACATTACCGCTCTTCCCGCGACTCCCCGCAATAGACTAAGCGCACGAACGGTGGCTCAATTCCGGACTTGATGCGTGGGCAATGGTTTGGGACACGGGGTCAACCGTCGAGACCCAACGGGGTTTCGCTTCCTCCGCGACCGTGATTGTCTGCTGGTTTTCTCACCCAGGTGAAGAAGACTACGGTAGCCGTCTTGCTTGCTGCCAACAACCTGTTGACGTTCTTCAACGCACGCAGGCAGGTGCTGCACGTTTTCGTGTGGCCCTGCTCCGGCACCCAACGACGATCAATGTAGCCGGGCCGGAACATCCCGTTAGGCAGCCGGAGGAGAAAAGGGGCCAATGATCATGGTTAAGGATGATGATGAGGTGAGTAGAGTAAGAGTTTTCTTTTAGGGACGTGAGTCGTGACCGACAGTGGGAGGATGACTTCTACCTATTTGAGCAACAGCTGAAGCGGATGGAGCTGCATCCCCCTTGCAGTGTGAGAAATACCTGTCTTCTGCTGGGTTTGCATACGGCGCTACTGTGGCTTCAACCCATAACTTTCACCATCCAATGGTTTCTAGACAAGTAGTGTACAGTAGCGTTGGATGTGCCGTTGTCCCGACCACATGGGCAACGGCGAGGTGACACCAGCGTGGTTGAATTTGCGGAAATGGAAAGGACACACAAGTGGCGGGAGTTACGGATAGTATCGTAGACCCTACTGTTGTAGCTCCACACAACGGTCTGCACGGAAGCTGTGCGTCAGCTGTTGGCAATCTACGCCCCCGAGGATCCACGGTGAACCAGAGGAACCGCAGAATACTGCAACGCAGTGGAACCCATCACGATGTCGAAGCATATACCACTCAGGTACGTGTATGAGGGACACCATGGATAGTGATTGGTAGAATTCGTAACGAACGAACGGGCACAACCACGGCTATCTACGTTTTGCGCACAACAAAGGTCCAAAAGCACCAAACCCAGGCAAACTAATGATATTCCACCCAGGAAGCCTGGTACCTCATAGTAGTCGAACAGGACTTCGCGATTTTGTTCACGTTCCGGAAGGGTCGGGTCGCAGTCTTTATCCCACGCGGGCCCGCCGGAGCCATGCGTGGCGATCCACTTCCTCCTGAATGAAAGAAGCACGTCCGTTACGTGGTCCCATGAATATGACCCTGCCGTTGCTAGTGCAGCTTGTTGTTGACGTCGTTGTCGTCGGTAGAGTAGTTCCTCACACCAGCTGATGGCCCAATCTCTGGTCATTCCACTTTCTATTCACGAATGTTCCTCTGTAGCTTAGTGCAGTCCACCACAAACATATAACCCGGGAAACGCTGACAAAATCGCGAATTTCTCACCATGGAAATCCCTTGTCTTCCACCAATTTTGGGCGATTGGAGGTACCACAATTTCGGCGGTGTGAGGTTCTGTAACATGAACGAACAAGAGAATCGAAACACACTTACACGGCCATGACGGCTCGATCAGCGGGAGCTGGGGTGTACACAGCACGGCCATAGCTCGAACTTCTGGTACCATCGTACCCCACCGAAGCCAGTGTCTTTTCCTGAGGTTTAGAGTGATAACACGAAAAGAGCAATACGGTATCGCGAAAAGGTCGAAAATCATCACTCCAAGGCAGGTGACTGTCTGAGAACACGAGAAGAATACGTCCGGCAGGGACAGGACCAGCGAAGGTGATGGGCGAAGTATTCACACTGCCCATATCTTCTTCCACTCCCTTACATCGGCAGCTGATGTCGTGCTTGTGGGTACACCGGGAACATGACGACGCAAGATGTTTCTTTCGACGGATCTACCCGTAGATAACTGTTGACCATTTACGGAATGGTCTCGATCTAGCCTTCCCCGTTCAAGAAGAAATGTCCACATCGTCAACCTGGTGATGAAGGAACACCATATCTTGGTACAAGAACAGGCCGGACGTGGCGTGTATGAGCCATTGGGGAAACTTGGACGTGATCCTATACCGTCCGTTATAAAGTGAAGTTGGACGGTCGCAGAGAGAGAGCGCGCGTAAGAGGAAGGCAATAGGGGAGGGGAGAAGTGGGAGTTGAATGCAGTTCGATATTGAAATGAAATCGATATACAGAGCAAAATCGCCAAATGTTATTTCCCTCGGGTACTATTGAATGAGAGTAGACACAAAGTACAAGGGAGTGAAACGAACGAACGGGTTTGTCAAGCGTAAACAAAACCCACTTCGCCTTGGCATGGGGCAAGTCAAAGGATGAGAGATACTGTGCCACGTGCACACGTTTTGACATCACCCTCGCTTTTTGTCGTGCGTTTCCTGTCACACATCACATCCCAAAAACGAAGACGTTGGTTCAGGGTACTCGCGAGTGAAACCCACACTTGCAATTGGGGAAACGTAGGCGATTTGAATAGTTGACTGACCTGGCGGCGACCAACAACCCTGATGTCTTCTTGCCAAGCCGCTTGTTCTTCTTGTGGAGCGCCTTTGCCTCCTTAGACTTGGGAGCATACTTGTGCACGTACGCCTAAGTTGTTGTTGTACATGGCACATGGCGAAGGAGAACATAGTCGGAAAATTTCCATGGTATTCCACCGAACCCGACCATGACATGCGCGCGAACATAGCTTGCTCTACTGTTGTCCGCATGTGGCACCTCAAATCGGCTTGGTCGACCTTCGGGCCCGCTAAGCGGTGTGCATCGAAAACGCGTCTCCCCCTGTGGTTTTCATCCACCTTGCTCTGTTGTGGTCTTGCCTCACCCGTGCCCTCAATCCCCGTCGTTCGTTACCTGGCGGCCCACCAGACGAGACCACCCGGGCTTGGTAGGAATCCCGTACAGCATCAGCTTCAGAGTCCCGGAATTATCCGCATTCTCCACCAGAACCTTTGTTGGACAATACACACAATTGACGTCACACGGAGTCGTGGACATCGTTTCCAGTAAAAAAATTACAGACAAGAAGGATGGACGGGAAGGTGAGGCAGAGATTACGCTGTTGCCACTATCGGGCCCGTTCAACCCTGGTCTAGTCTGGTCCGGGATACGAAAGTCGTTGTTGGGCATGTCATCTCCAAAGACGTGTGCAAGGTCGGCCTTCCTTCGGAAACGAGGGTTGTATGTCTGGAACCGTTCAGAAAAGCCTTGTGGAATTTCAGGGAGCGCAAGCATTTCTTCTCAGCAAAATTCTTTCGGCGATCTACAGGAGTAACCCCCACCAAGAATCTGGGACGTCTTCCAAACCTGCTAACTGCAATCCGCTCGATGTTTCGAAGGCCGATAAACCGACATCCTTGACAGTCGAGAAACCAAGCCTCTATGCGCTTCGCGTCTCCGCTCGACAACGAACACCAACAACCTTGACCGCACCTAACGTAAATGGAGGGAAAAACAGGTTCCTGCACAACGAACTTCCCGACGGTAGCAACGAGTCACGTTGGAACCCCAGAACGCCAGCACGCTCCGAACATCTGTCGATCCACCACGGTTACGACTCCAATGTCGGCACCAAGTTGGCTATGGCACGCCCTACTCGTGGGGGTAACCACGACCAAACGTCGAAGCAGCACGCCATGGACGCCCTCGAGAGAATCGACATGATAGCACGCGTTCATGATTACACACGGTCGAATAGAGCAGATCTCTCTCCCTCTCTCCCTCTCTCTCTCCATGTCTCTCTGTCTCTGTCTCTCTGTCTCTGTCTCTCTGTCTCTCTGTCTCTCTCTCTGTCTCTCTCTCTCTCTCTCTCTCTCTCTCTCTCTCTCTCTCTCTCTCTCTGTCTCTCTCTCTCACGACCCATTCGAACGTGGGTCGAGCACACACAAACCGGCCTGTTGAATCTCACCAGGCAAGGCGGCACGAAGGTGATCTTGTTGTGGGTGCCCGCAACTTCGTCATCAAACTTGAATCGAAAACCGCTCTGGAGCGTTCACGTCGGGGAATGATGGCGACGAGGCAGGGCGGGGGGGGGAATCAACCGTAACAGGTACCGAATAGCACAAGGAGATTCGTGGTCAGGGGGGATGTGGAAGCGGCCACGTGTATCTTGCAAAGGATGCCAAGCCAGGGCCTGGCAAGGAACCCAGGAATGGTACAGAGACATGTTTGGTCGAAATGTGACTCGCTGGAACGTTGGTGGGGCCTTGGTCCGATTTTCCGTGTGCAGACGCGTGCACAGTAGGAAAACGATCACGCGAATAGTAACAACCCGCTTTCCCGTCGTCAGGCAACTTGTATTTGCCCCGGCTCTCGTATTTGTTCATCAGGAAAGTTCTGAGATCTAGCACGATGAGAAATGATCTAGGGAAGTGCGTGTTCGTCGCAACCTGTCCCTTGACTGCAGCGCTTGAAGAAATACATTTATTGAAGTCGTTTACAACCTCCTACCGTAGCCGTGACGGGCCATTCCTCGTCGGGCTCGAGGTCTATCGGCCGAACGTCCTTGTAGCGATCTCCAGCGACCCCTGGAACACACGGAAGGAACGCACGGAAGCAGGGCTGGTGTGCGCAAGATTTCGGTTGTTTCACGAACAACAACAACAAGGACGAGACACATGTATTCACACCTGTACCGACTCCACCTACTTCTAATGATGGATGAGCACAGGTCTTGCTTCCAAGCAGACACAGCTCCCAAAACATGCCTTTAGCTTGTGTCTGCCGTATTACCCTTGCAACGAAACCCGCGACCATGCGCTAATCGAATGCGAAATCGGTTACAACTCGAGAGACAACACGAGCATCGTCAGCATTGGCCGGTATGTGGCACGAGCTAACGGGCCACCGCTCAAGTATACCCGCAGTGCCAGGATCTACATTACCCTCACCGCCAGAAGCAGGTTGTCGAAACCCTACATATCAATCACAAAAGAAACTGCCATCGTCAAAGCAGGCGCCTGCCAACCGCATGGGCAGCTGCGTTGCTTCTGCGTTTTCGAGGTTGGACATATCTACACTCGCGGTTCTGATGGGCTGGAGTATACACCGACGGTCTGACGGTCTGTCTGTGACTACCGCTGAGTCTACACTCAATGTGCTCGCACCATGGTGGGCAGACGGCACATGCGCTGGATCCTGCCCGGTCACACAGGGGGCCGAGGCAGCAGAAGCGGCGGCGGCAGTGGTGGTGGGGGCGGTGGCGTCGGCGGCGTCGGCGGGGGGACGGACGGGAAGTGAAAAAACGAAGAGCACGGTGGTATATGGACTTCAATTGTTGTCTAGATCTCCTAGAACGGATTCAAGGCCCCAAACTCAGGGATTGAAATGTGGAGGCGTATCTGTTCATATGCCCCGGTCTGGTGGATTGCTGGGGTCGGAGTGCTGGGGTCCAAAAACGTTGACCGCGGGCACTCTTGTTCTCAGTAATACCAACGCGTGGTAGGCGCAGGAGGAATATTATATAGAGTGAAGACGTGGTGAAGCGCAATGGCTGGTAATGGCAGCACCCTTGGAAGGTCACGGGAAAACACTGGATAGGGTGGAAGTTGGCCATAACGGAACCTGGTTGGTTGTGCAAAAACACTTATCATTCCGTGCTTCCGCCCGAGTACTCGCGGTAAATCAAGAGGAGGAAGGGAGGTCCAAAAGGGATAAGCATTGTAACAAAACGTCAGAGGGAACCTAACCAAGATAACTTAGGGACCGTTCTCCCGAAGGGGTACTTGTAAAATCCAAGAAAGTATGATGTCGCACAACGGTGTCAAAACTAGAAACGCCAAACCAGGTCGCTCATGACGGTACAGTTGGAGCGATGCGCAACAAAAGAACACAAACGCAAGTGCAACTATGTATCAACGCACAACGGCGATCGAAACCAACACCGCAATCAAACGACGGACCATTTTCTGAATAGGGTAAAAAAAGGTGCGGGGAGATCCTAACAACCAAAAAGTACATGACAGCGACCGATAGGGTCAGTTGCGCAACCAAGCGGAAGGGGGGGGCAGGGCGACACACTCAGAGGAGGGAGCCTCAATGTTGTTTCGTCTCCACCTACATCTCTGCACTACTCTTGCGTAGGTGGGCGGCTCACCACGAAGTTCTCTATCATGGTGTCCCACCCGTAGGCCAGGTCAGTGTGCTGGACCCCCTGTGGGACAACCCTGCCAGACGCTAGTCCCTCTTCATCATCCAGCTCGGGGATGAGGTGGGGCGGGGTGAGGGCGCTCTCTAAACCCGCATCCGGCCCGTTCTCGGCCCACACCCAGATAATGCCTTGAGCGACCTGCGAGAGTGCGGCATGACAGGCAGCATGGACGAGGCCGGTGGAGACAAGCACATACCACTATACAGCATGCCTGAGAGAGAGAGAGAGAGAGAGAAAGATGGATAGGTGCGGAAATGAACACGAACACGCATTATCCTTGTGGGTGGGTGGCGGGAGAGCGGTCTACCTACCCATGAGAGGGTCCGTCGAAAACATGCGTTAGTAGGCGTCCCGCCACCGTCTGGCGGATGATACGTTGATTGAGTTGCTACAGTTGACCCTGGCTGGCGAGGGTGCCAGCCTCGATCCGACAATCGGCCATGCTGACTGCTCCCCTGGTGTGCATCCTCGACGTTGGGCACATATCCTACTAAATGGCGGCGTGATGCTGCTCCCCAAGGAGAGCTTGGGATGCGGAAGCCGACTGGTTTCCCCGTTTCAAAATCAAAAATGGCTTGTATCTGCTGGTGTAGTTTGCAACTCGGATCCCGTGTCTTGGCGCTCACTATTTGCACACTTCAAAAATGATCTGTCTTCGGATGAAACTCCTCTCAAACGTTCAGCATGCACAATGCTCTCTCGCGGTGCGGACACGCCGGATCGACTCCGAGATGAACAGCAGACTGCATTCGACGTGACAGACAGCGGTGGTTCCCCAAATGGTGCTCCGGTACTCATACCTCGTGCCTCTGCCGTTCGGTCGTCGCTTGACCTTGTTGTGATGGGTGTCAAAGGACAATCACAGCATCAACCACAGCAACAAAAGCAATGTCGTCACCCGGTTTTGGAGTGATGAAAGATTGTCGATGTTTGCTCAACGCAAACTCGCCTTGACACGTGTAAGCATGTCTCTTCACAGGTGCACTTGGGTATACCAGCGTCGGTGTTGGTGACAGCCGTCGCCGGTATCAATGGCATGTTGCCAGACGAGGTACCTGTGTGGGGTAGACCTTGGCGCACGCCTTGGGGTTAGCCTCGTCCTTGCCTCCTCTGTCGCTCTGAGGGATGCTTAGGCACTTGCCGTCGGCGTCGAAACGCCACGCGTGGTACGCACAGCTAGACTCGTCCGGAGAGGCGCGGGGACAGACGATTGGCGGCCAGGAGGCCAGACCAAGGGGTTTGGGGGGTTCAGGGCGTCTGATCTTTACGATGCCAGCTTTACAGCTGGGGCGTTGCCTCGGGCGGCACAGGTAGTCGACACCGTCGTTGTGTTGCACAAGGATATGTGGGATTCTCGGCGGTTTACTGGCCATCCTCTTGTTGGGTTGATATATCCACTAATCAGGCGGCCCACGCTGCAAACAGCCAGTTAATTCACTGTTGTGTTGCATACACAAGAGATACTTTTCGCAAAACCAAATGCACCAAACGAGTGATTGAACTCGAAACGTTGGTATGGATCGGCACCATTGGCGCAAAGAAAAAGGAATGGTCGGGGTACACACGACAGCCCACGCGCCACGTAGTGAATCATCGTTGGGATGGGTTCGAGTTTCTCACTCACAGGAGAGAGCCGTCGTCCTCTATCCTTCCCTCCGTGAGTGGTGCCGCTCTGTGAGGGCAGCGGTCATCGAAGCACGACCAGCGACCCTCCTTGTTCCGCCACACCACCAGGTTCTTGCCCAGTAGCTGTTGCGGAACAGCGGCAGAGGTGACGCGGCACGGTTGCGGTCGAAATGAAGGAGGTGGTACAGGCAGGGGCAGTAAACAACAGTTCCGGCTATCGAACAGAGGCAGCATGGCGGGGGACTCACATGCATCACGAGCGCGACAGAGATTTTCGGCCATGTCCACTTCGCGTCGCAAACCGTGTCTGAGACGCATGCAACGATAGCGTCTGGCGCAGCAGGTACAGCGGTTGTGGGTGACCAGGGATGTACCTAATGAAATATCCTCATGAACGTCGAGCTGCCGGTCCGCACCATGAGCGTGTGGCGGATTCGGGGGATAATCGGCTCGCGTACCAAGGCCTCGCGTTATCAGTACTCTCCTTTCCGGGCACTACCTAAACCATTGTTTCTACGTAGGTACCCAACCTCCAAGCGCACATTCCAGCATGGGTTCCAGCATGGGAGGACAGGTGTCATTCTATGTAGCCTCACGCCATGTTCTGTGCACAAACGAACATGGATCAGCTCCTTGAACGCCGCATACATGCCATTTCTTCTATGGAACGCGTTTTGTGACAACGAATCTATGGAAATGCCACGCCGTCGATTTGGGCTACAATGGCATGTCTCCAGCTCCGCTATAGCGCCCTACCTGAACAGGGTGGGCCCTCCCTGGGTCCACATGGTCGGCCGCCAGCAGCGGATACCACTGCACAAACATTGTGGCCGGATCGAATATGAGGGGGGCGGGTATGATTCGGTTCACCTGAAGTAGTCGATTGTACATGCCTGAAGTACGTCAGATAACAAACAGGTTCCAATGACTGCCTAGCTTTGCGAGCCAAACTAACAAGGCTTAGGGTCACACCGCCTTAACTCAAGTGTCGATTCCAAGACAACGTGAACATTGAGCGCAGGCCAGGCACACGATAAAAATCACGCTATAGCTGTACAGATAGAGAGATAAGGCGGCCCTTCAGTTAACTTTTTGTCCGACTCTACTGTACACATATCAAAGATGCCTGGACTCAATGGAAATGACGCGGGCGGGGTATTGGCACTTCGTGCGACCGCCGCCGTGGGCGATTCATGGGAAAAATAATGTGTGGAAAACCTTTTACTTTATGTCGGAAGGAGGACTATTGTATGCAAAAATGCGCGGTGTGCCTGACATTAAATGCTGAGTAACACCATCGAAGGACAAGAAGCACACAAGTACATCCTGCCTGCCTGTCATCTTCAGAAAATATTTCGCTCAGATTTTAGTTGCTTCGCGCGACCATCAAATAAGGCGAAATATGTGTTTGTTACTGTAGCAAAAATACGACGGCTGCGACCAACCCTCAAACAAGATAGCGCCGGAAGGGTGGTGACGAGACGTGGGTGGGTTGAAGGCTGCAAATGCTTGATAGATTGTAGTTGGAGGGAACGCAATGAGAATCATGGTACAAAATTTCGCCTCGTTGCGCTTCGTGGTACAACGTTGGGATGTGTAATGCTCTGGCGGTGCTGTATTGTTTTTTGGAGGAAATTTCAAGATGCTTAGTCTAGATCTCAGGTCGATTATTACTGGATATGCGCTACTCACCACGACGATAGCTACAGACAGCACCGCGTTTACTTGGCATTACAACTATGGCAGGACCGGTATAGTCTATTGCAGGTCGACTAGTGCCGGTTGCCCGTCATGACGCCGGTGAACTCGGCTGGCATAGCTTCAAGCCGGCGAATACTGGCAGTCTAGAGGTCCTTTATCATGCCGGTTCGGGGAGTCGGTGGCTCGTGAATTATGCCGCTTCTCAAGATTGCTTGCACACACAGGATTGCACACACAGTACACCACCGCACACGCACTTCGAGGCCATATTCCCACTACCAGCTGTACCCCTACCGCATCATCAGCAGGGGAACACCATGCCTATAAGATTGCGATGATCACAGCGCATGCCTCCATGCCAACCCGACGGGGAGACAAGAGGGGCTACTTCGACAAGATCTGATGCTAGTATTTGAATCGATTCAGCATCAGTAGTTTGGTTGTTTGTTTGTGGAACCTGTTGGTGTATGGGGTACGGTTGTTGAAAGCTGAACACCAGCAGCCTGACCACTTTTTGTTTGGATTCTGTTGTTTTTTGTTCGTGCTCTATGTCGGCGAGTATTCGTCGGTAATGCGGCACGCAGTACATGGGTGTGTTCAGATGTTTTGTTATCGTACTGTTTGTTGCTTTGCGTTCTTCCTCAATATTTGCGTACCAAATAGTTAATGTGAATTTTTGCAAGTGACGGGGAGGCACCAGAAGTGAATATTGCACGTCAAGGAAGAGTTCGTGCTCAGACACTGCTCTGCAAAAAATAAAAAAGGTCAGGGGGTAGAACCAAAGATATACATGGAGGGATGAGTTAACAAAAGACCCTTCGATGCACGCGCCTCTGAAAGTTGCTCGGTCGCGGAATCCTTACCAAAACCTCCTGTCACAGCATCCACTGTCATTTTTTCCCATCACCTGATGCTTGCGTTGTGTGCTACACGTTTTCGTATTGAATAACTCGACGGTTTCCTCTGTAGTGCCGGGACCGGCGTTATTGCGGAATTCTGTTCGGGCTGTCCTAGCGGCGAGGACGCATCATACGGTGTCACCGGCGGCCTCCAAGCACAGCACACCGTGCGGTCTTCGGTGTACCAAATCCAACCATTTTCACGAAATTGCAGGTACATCGTCGATAAAATAAGGATATCCGTGCGGTTTCGACGGTTTTTTCTCACCGAAACCCGTGTTCAACGCCGCGGGTTCGCGCGGTTGATGCAACGGAGTAAGCGAAACCGCTCCGTGCAAAACAACGCACTACGGTTAAACCACTCCGTGACATGAACAAAAAAATCGCTCCGCTCCGTGAGACTTTTGCCCTCAGAAAAACCGCTCCGCACCACTCTGTAATATTTTCAAATGAAAAAAACCGCTCCGCTCCGTGGAACTTGAAAAAACACAAAAACGCTCGGCGGAGCGTTTCTACTCCGTGCACAGCCCTGTGAAGTCGCAACCCCTCAGTAATGCTGCAACAGACATAATGGAGGCCGACTCTACATAATTCCGGTCTCCCGCAATAATGCCGGTGAAATCGGCTGTCAACCACCGGTATTATCCCGGGCACTGTACCACCACGCCGACCATATTGCTTTTGGTGTAGGCCTCTTGGCTGAGCACCTGTGGCCAAGCTCATATATTTTGGATATTCTAAGGGTCATGTTGTTAACTGCAAAGTTCTTCATTCAGCGGTGGCGTGTTGTGTACACGAAAACTCACGAAGCAGCCATTTCTAGCCCACAGGAGGAATTGATTGAGAACCCCCAACCTCGGCCAAAACTACACGTTCCCAAGTGCCGGCGTCATCTGAACGTGTCTATGGACATCATTGTTGCGACATCTGCAATGAAATCACGAAGATCAACAATGATGTTTGGGGACGACGGGCATACATGCGTAGCATACAGAACGCGCAACCACTTCAGGAACTCTTGTTTGGGCCGAGGCTTATTCTATTGCGTCTTCAGGTACCCGCACGTCGACTATGTAGGTGTAGTACTAGGCTTCTTGACTGTTGTTGCTATGGTCAAGGCCTTCGTTTTTGCATGTTCCTAGGTGAAAGTGAATAGTGGGGCGTTCTATATGCACACCACAACATGTGGGACACCCACAGCAGGTTCTCCAGAGCGTGTGTTCTCGCCTCTGGCTATGGTTGCATAATTCCGTCGAACTCTGGTTTTCGTAATCTGATTCAATAATACTTTCCGCACTCTACATCATACACGTGAGCATGTACATAGATATTGTCAATGAAATGTGTTTTTTTTCTTTCGCCGAGGTTCGCTGGGCTCTGCGATTCAAACACCTCGCTCGGCTATTAGAGAGCCGCGGAAATGCCATTACAGCTGGCACCAGGCAGCCAGCTGTCGGTTGGTCCTCCTGCCTGAGTTTGTTGTCCTCTTGCATCACCTTTGATGGCACTGCTGTGCTCGTATGCATATGAGCCCTCTCTGTTTCAGAAGGGGTCACTTTATGCATACTCTATTGCGAGTTGTGTGCACATGCACGGAAAAGAACAAAATGATGCTATTGTATTCTCGTCTCCGTGTTTGGATCACTTGGAGGAATTTAGGATTTGTTTGAATGAGGCCTCCTGTCCCGGCAGGAGGACCGCACCCCTCTGAAATGGTGCCGCGCTCATTGGTTCGTTTCACTCAGCGCGGCATCACACCCAGAAAAGGATCCAGCGGTGGAGGTACCACGGTGGAGAGTACAAAGTTGGGCGGGTGGGATGGTCTCTGTTTTTGGTATCTCTCTCACCGTTTACGACGCTTTTGGGGGGAAAACAGGGAATGATCAATAGGTTCGTTCGTTTCTCAGTAGTTTGGGGGGCCTGCCGCAGGGGTGGATCCGTGCCGGATCCGTTCCCCTTCTGAGGTCTCCCGCATATTACTGTATTCTCGTCTCCATTTTCGGATGACTTACAGAAAGCGTTCGATCTGTTTGGATGAGGCTCCTGTCCTGTCACAAGAACCTACCCAAACTTCGTTTCCGCACCCTTCGTAATCGCATATCGACCAGAAGTCATACCTCCATCCTAGCATGCCGAAGCCGAACCCAAACTCTCTGAGCGGTGCGTTTACCACCACCACCCGCGCGAAACGCGTCCTCCCGTGAAACCCTCACTCCATGGCATGCGTTCTGCCTGGTCGCATACACCACAGAACACACCACCACTCAAACTTAGCATAGCTCGCAACATCGGTTTAGACACGATTAATCGTTACTGAAACGAAAAACCGACGTGCCCATGCCGTACAACGAGCAATCGAGGTTGGTGGTATTGTGTGGGATGTGGCACATAGGCACTACTACATTGGCGTCGGTTCTACGGACCGACCAACGTCTCGGCTGTGTTGTTGAAGAAAAACAGGCTGCGTGGGTGCTGCGTACATGTCGTCGGTATTTTCCGGGCAGACGTCGGGGACATACATACGGCAAATCACGACCTGTAGTGCGCAACTCCCGTACGAAAACGGAGCCGTGGCAATGGCACGAATCGATCAATATCCCCCTGCACGTGAGTCAACTGCGTGTTTCTTTGTGTAGAGGTCGTGCAAGGCCATTTCGATTGCAATACCAGTCACCCTACTTGAATACGCCTTCGTGACGTGAACCCACGGCACGCATCGTTGCGATGGGCACTGGTATTGGCACCAAATACGCCCTCGACTAAAAACTAACATTTCAACCGGGCGAAATGTCGAAGCGATGTTTGCATCAAGGCACACCGTCGAGAAAAAATAACGTAGCACAGACACTTATCAACGCGACTCCGGGCCTTGGAACTATCTTAACAATTTAACAACATAACGGTTCGAAAGGGAGCAAAAGGCGACCAGAATCGCGCGTGTGTCTGTGCATAAGGGTAGCTACTGAATTTACAAGTATGATATAGATGCAGATGGAGTGTCGAGGAGAAAACGCAAGCGGCTCCCTCCTACTTTCGCTCAAGCACCTTATCCTCCACCAACTATCACTCTTGGAACCTAACAGACAGAGGGTCACTGGGCATACATCCCACGCGTGGACACTATACGACACTTCAGCCACGCGTTTCCCCGCGCAACGAGTTGGGGTTTCGGTATTGCACACCCCAGCAACGCGGCAGCGGTAGTTACGATCC